TTTTCATCGATCGATTTGTGTCATATATGTAATCGGTCAATTCGAGATTAATGGGCCATCGACATTCAAACCTGAAGTACCACATCAGAAGTACTATTTCCACAGTACCGTATCCACACAATCTAATCGTAGTCCATTACATCCTACCAGAACTAATGCATGCGGTCTTATCATAATTTGAATCGACGTTTTGGATGACTTTTGTATGACAAACCAGTGTTTTCTTATACGGTTATTAATTTCTAGCATAGCTGTACCATGAATATCATTGTGCTCATTAAACGGTCACTGGTTTACTCAAAAGGCTGTCTAGGATTTCTTAACTAAGACAATGTAACTTATATTTCTATAACATTCTATAACACTAATTTCTTTTTTGTACATTAGAAACGTTAACAACTTACAAGTGACTGTGGATGACGATTTCCTTACAATAAGAGTTCCTAAAAATTGTATTCAATTTATAACATAAGTTAAGTATATACACAACGAAATGGTTTATACGTTAAACAATTACAAAGATACAAAGATCATCTAACATAATAGGTGCCGCATCATAGTGTAATCGCGTCAGAAGCACACAGGTTGGGAGTCCAAAGACTTTCCCCCTCAAACAATCAATTCTACAGCAGCGTTGTCCTCTGTTATCAAAGTCATCAAGTCACAGGTCATCTACGCATTTAGCTTAAATCCTAAGCACCAATAACCTATTGTTCGACTGTACTCGCTACTTATATAAAAGCCACGGTTGCTTCCATATTGGCATATTGCGAACCCTACATGGTTAGGACCTAATGACCTACGACATTTCAACCGCTCCCTCCTTTTCCAATACACGAAGTGGGAAAAAGATAGAAGATTACCATAATAGAATATCGGTTTGTTTGTTTTATTCGATTTGTAAGTGGCTACGATTCAGTATCTACTGCAGTTTCTCATATTGTTTCTTTAGTAGCGTGTAGACGCGTCATTTTTTGTTCCTTGCTTATAGTTTCCCACGGGATTACTAAAGGTATTTCATGATAAAGTTTTGGTAGTAACGTGGGAATACTTACTTTTTGACAGATGAGGACGTTGATATTTTCAAGCTTTGATTGAGAATATCGTGATAACAATACTTGGAGTATCTTTTCAATAAATAAATATATTTCAATATATAATTTCGGAGCACTAGAGCTCCATGTGTACGTTTGTCTAGGGAAATATTGCTACCTTACCTATTTCTGCCGCATTACTGCGCTTCGGTTTTGAAGTGTAAGGGTGCTGGTGAAATTATAGGCACTTGAGATTTGTCGACTTTTTTATAATAAGTCATGCGCCTGGTGGTAAGCGACACGCCTATGCATCCGACTAATGTATCAGGGTGATGAGCGCAGTAGCAATATCCCTCAGATATTTGCGATTTAAAGTTCCAAGTGGCACTACAACTGATATGGACAGGCGTGTCGCTCACCACCAGGCGCACAACTTGTTCGTCCCGTCCCTTAGTACAATAAAAAAATCTCTATGTCTCGCTTAAAAATATTTCCAACAAATTATATAATTAAAAGAAATGTCTGTTCTGATCATTATACATCTCATACAGACTGCACTATCTTAATACCCTACAGTTTACTCTCGTAATAAGCTAAACAGCAAAGATATCGAGCCTCATAACAAGGGCTTTAACTCATAGCAATTACATTGCTTTTATCAATAATAGCACAAAAAACAAAATTGTGTCCAATCACCGACCGATCGAACGTGGACGTAATCACTTTAATACACGTCCTTAGTGCAACTAGGGACCAAAATTATTGAAGCGTTAAAAATAGTAATTTGTGTATGTACTCAAAATGTTCGGTCGTAACATAAAGTTGGATAACGTTGTCGATTGAGTGTAATATAATAGAATTGTTATTAAATTTATGTTGTTTTATAAAGTTTTTTTCAAAATCCGTTGTAGCCTAATGGTTTGACCTACTGCCTCTCAAACAGAGGGCCGTGTGTTCGAAACCGCGCTCGCACCTCTGAGTTTATCGGAATTTATGAGCGAAATTTAATTAAAAATTTATTTCGGTGAAGGAAAACAACGAGACGAAACCTGCATGTCGAAGAAGGTTCACAACCCTCTGGAAAACGTATGAAGTCCCCAACCTGATTTGAGCCACCAGTTCGAACTAAGGCCTAAACCCTCGCCTAAAATGAGATCAGTGCCGGCAATGGGACGTATAAAAGGGTTGATGATTTATGTTGTTTTACATATCGAGATGGGAGTTGACAGGATTTATTTTCATCCTATTTCTATTTACCATTAGTAAATTTCAATTGTTGTTCGTAGTGCAGAATCTCAGGCATAGTTTTCCAACAACAATACGTTCTCTCTGTATATTCATTGGGGACACTATATACTACTATTATATTTCGATGAAAAAATCATTTCCAATAACAAAGGAGGAACGAAAATATCGTCACAATTTCACAATCACAATTTTGACTAAAAAATGGTGTCACACCAGAAAGGAATGAAAATTATACAAACAAACGTAAGCGCTACAAATTCAATCGATATAACTCTAAATTACATACAACGACGATTCAATATTTGCTTCAATAACAATAAAATTGTGATATGATGTGACGTATTCCATACGTCACAGCACCATAATTGTATCCGCTTAGATACTAAGTACTAGATTTCATCACTCAGTTGTGAGTAAACAACAATATATTAAACTTTATCTAAACATTTTTAAAATTTGTGCTTTTTCACAGAACGTTTATATTATTTACTTTTTTATGTTACCAAGTGACGGGACGAACAACTCGTACACCTAGTGCTGAGCAACGCGCCTGTCGATAAAGTTCTGAGGAACACTGTGCTCGTCACCTTGAGACACAAGTTGACAAGTCTCATGTGCCTGTAATTTCACCAGCACCCTTTTATCCTTCAAAACTGAAACGCAGTAATAACGCGCACACACTCATAGCCTAGGGAAATCCTATCAAAATCACATGGACACACACACATGGACAACCACAAATTACATTCAAACTCACGAGAGAAATAAATGTAGGCCATACAAATTTCTCCCGGCACGGTAATGAACCTGGGACCTGGATCCGTTCGGCCACGGAGGCAGTAACCCTCACATTACTGCTTGGCAGCAGAAATAAGTGCGGTGGCAGTACTTCCCTGTACGAATTCTTTCATGAGGAGCTATAATGCTACCAAAACCTTTTTTCTTACCACTACACGTCTTTTTCATCTTCAAATCTATATCAGAGCGGTTACACTCTCTATGACCACGGTTTGACTAGCAAGTGGTAGTTGAAAGCTTTAAGAACGTACATGTCTACCCCTTAATTTATGGATTTTTTTATAACACCTAGTGACGTTACGAGCAAGACGTGCGCCTAACAACAAATTTTCCATCCTCTAAGGTTACCCCCTTTCGTTCTTAAAATGACTGTAGACGCCGTTCTTAGACTTGAAAAGAAGAGTAAAAGGTCCTGTCGTGATGTGAAACTTGTTATACCTTATAAACTTTATTATGTTACTGAAATTATGCTGCAGTCATGTCATTCTTATTGACGATCGTCGACCATTATACGACTCCACCTCTGGGTACGGGTATCCTTTAAAAAGAGGGTTTAGGTTTTAGTCCGCCGCGCTTGATCAATGCGGTTTGACGATTTTGCACGTTATCCAAGAGTTGTGAACGTTCTTTTTTCTTGTTTTCCTTTACCGTAAGCCAAAAGCATTACTATCGAACATTTACAAATGCATTGGGAATTACATTATTTTTTCGTCTAACTTAAATCGAAGTCTGTTCTGTCTGTTTTTTGAAACAAACCAACGTTTGCCAGCTAGTCCGCCGTGACCATGGGACCCGTAGAGGGCAGTAAACGTTGGTTTGTTTAATAAACAAATATACATAATATAATATACGCGATGTAGATACGAAAAGTTTTATTTCCAATATGTAACAATCGCGGAAATCCGAGAACTCGATATATGAATGCACTAATCTTAAAATCATTGGTACCTGCCCAGGAATCATAACCGTCAACCTCGGAATTGAAAAGCAATCGTTCTCCTACTAAGCTACCACCGCTCCACAAGATATTTTATTATAAATTAAATACATTAAAGAGATTTTGAAGTTCAAATTAACCATTTGAGATACTACTTTAGGTAATAAGTATATTAGTGCTTAGCATTTTATATCCAATAGCTCTTCGAATTTGACCTACCAATGAAGTTGTGTTGCACCAAAGTGTACTTACATGCCTGCCAGTCAGATTGTATCATCCGAAATCAGTATGCCTACTAAATTCTGATTTGACAAACGACAACGAAAATGGTTAGCGAAGCTACTACTAAAAACGTATTTATACGTAGTTTAGTTATATGTGCGTACATTTATATGTTTTGGTTTCATACTTAGTCCCCGATACTCACTGAGATGTACTCGTAGCAGTAACTACGCTCCACCCATGCCTATATTTGGTGTTTTATGAAATACCCGTCAGCGAATGGTATATACGTAATTGGGAATGCTAATGAAGATGTTTTAGCATACCATTTTTAGTTCACCAATACCGTAAAAAAGGGTATGTTGAATACATCCAAGTACAGATGACACTAAAGTGTATGGCGCGGTCCTTTTTTTACAAAAGTTATTGAGATCATACATGAAATTTTCTAATGGAAACCTTAAAAAATGCCTTAAATGATTTAAAGACACATTTAAATCTTGAAACCCATTACATAAGCATTATGGAGTAATGTACAACATTGGTATATTAGTAGAAAATTCTGGATTATAGACACGAATGTGTAAAAATTTTAGTTTTAAAACGGTATCGTGACGTAATGACGGAGTTAACAAGCATACATTTTTTAAGTTGTATAGTCTAAACTTGTCCTGTGATGATTTTTCTTGTTTAGTTTCTATAACCCCATTACAGCATTGTCACAACAGTGGTAACAATTTTTATATGTTTTGTATACGCAGGCGTAATCGCGACACCGGCCAGGACGGTAGACACGGCGCCGTGCTAATGATGCGAACGATCGGGGCGCCGGACGCCAGCGACAGCGCGCCACTGTCACACCTACCCCCTCATACAAGCCACCATGTTCACCAGGTAACAAAATATGACATTTAAAAGCTATTAACTACTGCAGCTAGATTGAACATAAAATGCGCACGGTTAGAGTCATGTGGCTCCACTGAGACAACGCCACTGTCATGTCTGCCCCCGCATTAAAAAGTCACCTGATTCGTGAAGTAGCAAAAATGTGACATGAATGTTGGACATTCATTAGTGGATGTGGCCACTACAATGTTCATCCATCTCTGTACTGGGCTTCAGGCTTCAACTCATTTCGCATAGTAATTTTATCTTTCATCAGAACCTTGTGTCACTAGGTATAATTTGCAAGCTTTTTTGTCTAACAAATTCTAACCAACACACAAGTGTGTTTTATTTTTCAATATTAGTGAAACCACCTGCTGTATTCTATGGGTAGTTAAATGTTAGGTCGATGAATTGATCTTACAGTAATTTTTGACTTTGCTAATAATATTTAATATTTAAAACACACGAGTAAAAAACCAAATAAAATAACACATGACATCGCCACCAAAATACCGTACAAACAGTTTCAATCGTGATTTTCATGTCCTTACAGAGGACCTTGCAAACAATATAGTGTAAATTCAAACAAATTGTATGATTTCGATACATAATTAGCATCATTTTTTTACCATTGTCAAAGTTACAACACAATTAATTTTCCTAAATATACCTACCTACTACTCGTACGGTGCTGTGCAAATATTTGTAATACGTTTAAGCATGTTGTAACAATTTATAGTAGAGTCAGAAATTCTACATTAGCAGTGTAACAGGATTTCAAGCATTTTCCCGTAACGTCACATTATTATTATTTATTAAAAATATAAGGAACAATTTTGTGCAACAAATGGGGAACAGCGAACCAATATCATTCAATTATAAATTTACTACTATAATACAATCTCCAACCGGCACGTGAAGTACATAAATGTAAGAAATCTTCACTGCCTTTTTTTGTCTTTGTGTTTGTCTACAATATGACGAATCTCTATTGTCCTTGACAACTGCGCCAAATGTGAAAGGTGTGGGAATAACTCTACCTGAAGTATCGAGATTCCTTAGACTATTCCTTTATTTTTTCCCATCCTCTAAGCAAGATTCAAATACATAAACTAAACTGTCGACGACGTCTTTAAAAAGGGCCAGATTAAAAAATACCGCATTAATGCTAAATAAAATGTGCCAGAATCAAAGTTCTTCATTTAGAGATCCACAATCTCTTACAACCCCAATGGTAATCAAACGTGACAGTATCTATAAAACGATGTACATCTGTATAAAGAATATGAATAGTCATGCCGTTGCTTCATCACTTCAACGTCACAAAAGAATGTCGATTTCAAAAATTAGTGTAATTTCGTAGGTTCTAAAATTGTCTCACTTCAACTTTACGCAATTTATTAGAACATTTCACAAGTTCGCAACGTTCGCATATGACGCTTATGACGCGTCATTCTATCATAATTTACTGTCTATTTGACACTTTGTTAACGTCATATAAGTATTATATATTATTTCCATTATAAACTCAATGTGGTATACCCATGTGATTTCTACGTCGATCAGTAGTCACTTGGTCATTCTACACTAACAAAAAGACTGACACATTCTTCTTCTTAGCGAGTCGACGACTCCCGAGACTGCCAATGTTGGCTTTAGAAAGGATTTATGTGGAAGTGCCAGCGCACGAGGATTGGAAACCAGATCTGCCATCCATGTCAGTTAATTTGACTGCCTGGTTGTACACCAAATATAAAACTTGGAACGCAACTAGAGCAATGGTGACATAATATGCTGCAAGATGGACGGACGACCTGAGAAAGATGGCCGGCAGCGGTTGGATGCGGGCGGCACAAGACCGACCGAGTCGGCGTCATTAAGGGGAGGATTATGATTAGCAGTGGATGCGTGTAAGCTGATGATGATGACCCAACTTGCGCTCGAAGTCTGCTTAACGACTTCTAGACTGGCCAAGGCTGGTCCTGTTTAGAGTTGTTTCAACAACGAAATGTATGAACACTGAATAATAGAACATCACAATTGCTTATTTTAAGATTCAAAGTAGAGTAGCCTAGTGACGTAGCTCAGGTCGCGTAGCTCAAGTGCTTTATAAATATAAACTGGGATTATCTTCATAACTAGATATTTATTGTGTTTCTCACATATACACTTTTGGAGGCTACTTCTAGATCTGCCAAGATTCTTCTTTTCTCTATCCTATTTTTTTAAATACATACTAAACACAAACATGTCTATCTCCTCCATGCGCAAGAAAAGTACTGCAGTAGCAGTAAGAGGTAAATTGTTATGAACAATGATTTTGGAGACAACATTTCTCATACATAGATCATTCAAATGGGCCCTGATTTTTTTCTACACCGCAAGTCACTCAAAATGTAATGCGCGTAAGACCATTACGGAATTACAGGTAAGTTGTACACGGCTTGCTACATACGAGTATTACGGAGAAACACTGATAGAGCTATACAAAGAGTCAAAATTCATTGTTGAACTTGGTAGGTCAATGGTTGAACGTTGTATTTTACGTTATTTCATTAGCGTTTAAGCCATTTTAAAAAGTTATAGTTTCTATAACTTATTATTATTAACGTTATTATAAAAAAAACTTAGTTTTGGCTGAGTATACAAATCGATGTGTTTTTACAATTGGTAAAGTGTTGTGTGTTTTCTGTGTTGGATAAATTTGTCTACAGTCGATTAGATACCATCAATTTTCATACTAATTAAATTCATGCTCTTTACTCTATAAGTACGTTAAACAGGCGGTTAAGTGATTTTTTATTCCATTTGGTGTTTTATCAATTCAAATTAGCCATTTATTTAATTCGGCTTAAAAAATTCAACAAAGTTTAAAAAATATTATTTACCGAAATGCTTTCAAGCCAACTACAAAGTGCTCATTTAAATACCTTTGTAGTCAGTGAAGACTCCATGTTATACAATACAAGTTCCAAAAAAATACAAAACTAGATAATGTGACCAGGAGTGTACTCAACCATCGCTTAGGTTTAATGTGAGCCATTTATATTAGACCAGAGATGACTTGCTCTTTTTGCCACAGTTGGTTAAAAAGCCAACGCATTTTATGTAGTATTCCGTAATTATATTGGACGACATCCATTACAGAAAGTGGTGGAAAAAATTGATGGACGCAAAACGTTTGTCTTATATGTCTTATTTTCCTTGTATAAAAAAAGTTTTGTATTTTTTCTTTACAAGGTACAGTTGCAAACAAAATAGTCTAACATAAAATATAATATTTTTATGTCTATGTCCCGTTGATCGTTGCATCACTAGTTCATTAATCATACACCATTGGTACAAATAAGTATACAATCAGATGTCATGCTGTATTTAATCCGAGCACGTGGATACTCGATGTTCCACTTGATAGTGAGAGACGTAAGCCGATCAGTCAGCGCAGGTTTAATACATAAGTGTATTCGATGACTAAAATGCTTAAAAATTTAATTTTATATTACCATTTTCGTTACTTTTTTTACTGCAGTTTTGATTTTAATATTTATAAGCCAATGTAACTTAAATGAAGTAGGATTGTAGGATATAACTTTCGGTTTTTTTTGTGTGGAAAAGGACTGTCCACTTGAATTTCACAGCTACTTTAACTTAGCAATGTCAAACCAGTCCCTTAGGCTGTCCTACAGCATCTTTCAAGTGCTGTGAAACACTTCATCCAGGGAAGTATTGCCACCTTATCTCTTTCTGCCGCCAAGCAATAATGTGAGTATTACTGCGTTTCGGTTTCGGTGGATAAGGGTGCTGGTGAAATTACAGACACACTTGATGGACTTGTCAACTTATATTTCAAAGTGACGGGCGCACTAGCCACTACCTCATGATTTACAGCTCTGAGTGACACTGCAACTGTTATGGACAGGCATGGCGCTTAGCACCAGACACACAACTTTTTTGTCTCGCCGCTTAGTATCATAAAAATAGGTGCACGCAACTCTCATAATATGTCAACTCACATATAATTATGTCTATGCAATCTATTTCAACTTTCTGGGATTGCCTTTGAAATCAGTGTGTCATTCAGCTTACCTTATACCGTGATTTTAAGGAAATTCAACTACATCATTGTGTCTCAAATACATACACCAAACCTTTAGTCTACGACTATACTTTGACAAGTAAACAAAGTCTGGTGACATCTTTGACATGCGGCTGACATCTCAGCCAGCGGGGTGTTTTGACAATCGTACGATAATGAAGCGTGGTCTAATTAACCTATTGTATTAGCCTAAACTCATTAGGTGTAATGGAACGTTACTTCGCCTTTAATTATAGATGTGCGATAAATCTATTAAGAGTTTCATGTTGTGAAATTGTAATAAATTTATTTTTGTTGTCTAACAGAATATGACAGTCAATGACAAATTTTGGTATTTTAGTGGTAATTTTCGGTCATTTTCATTATTTTGTGACTTTCTATATTATAGCTGGTGCCCGCGATTTCATTTGAGTAGAAGAATTAATTTGAGTATATTATACTAATTTTCACATTTTTATTGGTTTTCCATACAAACTTTCATCTCCAATTTCAGTCCCGTTAAGATTTATTTTTTGACAAAATTAGCCTATGTCCTTCTCCTAGATCCCATCTATTCCTATACCAAAATTTAGGCGAGAAAACGTAACAGACAGAATTACTTTCGCATTTATGATCTTAGTTTGGATGAACGAATGTAGTGACGTTACTCTATTCTTCTTGATGGTTTTTTACTTAAAACCAGAGAGTGACGGAATTTTCGTGCATTGTCTGATAAGGATTACTTATGTGTTCACATGGACGAAATACAGCTGGCAATTATCGAAAATACCCAAGGAGGGTCCTGGTTACCAATTGACACGTAAAACCTCACTGGGCCTACTCACTAAAATTTAATGGCCTAACTCTAAATGACAACAAACGGATCCAAAATTTAAATTTAAAGACATCTAAACAACTAAACGAGTTACAT